CCTCCACATTAAGAACCAACATCACCGCGCGTTCAGAGTGTTTGTCTCGCTGCTATCAACGTCCACGCGATAAGCCGCCACTCCGTCGAGCGGCTGTCATCAGTGGTGTCCAGGTCGCTTCGGAAAGAAGAGCGACGCAGCAGCTCAGAGGGGCCTTTCTTGGCTAAAATGCTAAAAAAATCACAGATTATAGTGTAATAGGTGGGTGGGGGCGTGGTTGGTGGTGGCGTGGTTGGTGGGGGGAAGATTGGTGGTGGGGAGGGAAAGATTGGTGGGGGGATATTGGTGGGGAGGGGGAGATTGGTGGGGGGGGGATTGGTGGGGGGGGAGAGATTGGTGGGGGGATTGGTGGGGGGGGGAGATTGGTGTGGAGGGTAGATTGGTGGGGGGGGGAGATTGGTGGGGGGGAGGGAAAGATTGGTGGGGGGGATATTGGTGGGGAGGGGGAGATTGGTGGGGGGGGGAGATTGGTGGGGAGGGGGAGATTGGTGGAGGGAGATTGGTGGGGGGGGGGGAGATTGGTGGGGGGGGATTGGTGGGGGGAGATTGGGGGGGAGATTGGTGGGGGGAGATTGGTGGTGGGGAGGAGATTGGTGGGGGGGGATTGGTGGGAGGAGATTGGTGGGGGGGAGATTGGTGGTGGGGGGGGAGATTGGTGGGGAGGGGGAGATTGGTGGGGAGGGTTCCAGCCCTGGGGACAAGTAATGACCCCTTGCCTCTGCACATACGCAACAGCAGCGGTAGCGGCACTGTCACCCTCCACACCTCTGGGCAGCGCGCCACGCTCCACACATCTCTCAATTCGTCGTCGGAGTGAGAACACGTGTTCATCGCGAGGGGAATCCGATGAGCTATAAAGCTTTTTTTCGCAGATGTTCAGTTGCCCTCTCTGGCCCCTCCCCTTACTCCCACGCCTCCCCCCCCCCACATCACCCCCCCCCTCTTCCCGCGTCTCCCACGGACTCCTCCGACTCTCACACAAGCCCCGCCCCCTCCATCTCACGAGGAGGAAGGGGGGAGGGGCTGGTGGGTGGATATTGCCTTTTGCCTCTCGCTGCCCATTGGCTAAGGGGTGAGGCGCGGGGGGAGATGGGTGTGGTTATGTTAATGAGGTGGGGACACGCGTTGTCTGGTGACGCGGACGAGACCTGCCAAGCGGGGGGGGGGGGGGGGTGGGAGAATGGGGGGTGGGGGAGGAGGACGGGGGGGGGAGCGGTGGCGCAGCGGTTAGCGCTGCGCTACGAACCTGGCGACCCGGCTTCGATTCCCGCTCACGGCCAACACCGGTGACGATTGATTTTACTTGAACCGCTCCTGGGCCTCCTTCCCCTAGGTCGACTCGGCCTCAAATGAGTACCCGGCACGGCGTGGTGTGCACGTCCCCACTGGGGAGACAAAGGCGGCCGGGCGTGGTGCTGTCCGCTCGTGCCGAACTTCATAGGCGCTGCTACTCGCTCGCTAACAGCACTTGCCCCGACAGCACGTTAAGGCTATACGGGGGACCTTTGTCTTTGGGGTGAGCGAGATAGCTGGAGGGGCGGGGTTAGGGGGGTGGGGGGGTTGGAGGATGGGGGGGTGGAGGGTGGGGGGGTGTGGGGGGGTGAAGGGGAGGTGGAGGGTGGGGGGGAGGGTGGGGGGGTGGAGAGTGGAGGGGGGGTAGAGGGTGGGGGTGGGGGGGGTAGAGGGTGGGGAGGGTGGGGGGGGGATTGGTGGAGGGTGGGGGGGTTGGTGGAGGGTGGGGGGGTTGGTGGAGGGTGGTGGGGGGGGTTGGTGGACGGTGGTGGGGGGGGGGATTGGTGGAGGGTGGTGGTGGGGGGGGGTTGGTGGACGGTGGTGGGGGGGGGGATTGGTGGAGGGTGGTGGTGGGGGGTCAGGGCACGTTTCCGACCGCGAGAGCGATCACCAAGTGGTTTTTGGTGGCGGCTGCGGTGCAGAGAGAGAGGGAGAGAGAGTTGGCTCGAGGGGAAGAGATCCACGGAGAGTCGGAGAGTCACGGGGAGAGTCACGGGGAGAGTCACGGGGAGGGAGGGGGGTCACGGGCGGAGAGGCCAAAGCAGCGACACGTGCAGCGAGAGGGAGGCGGGACGGGAGAGTCGCAGAGGGAGAGACGTTGCTTTGGGTGTAACGCGGAGTGGACTGGGGAGTGACGGGGAGGGGAGGAGAGAGAACGAGAGGGGGGAGGAGGAGGAGAGAGAGAGAGAGACCTGGAGGGAGAGAGGGAGGGAGCTGCAGCATTGTCGGGCAATTTCGAGCCTCCGGCTCCTGTTGCTGAAGAATACGACTAGTAGTTGTAGTTGTGTTGTTGTTGTGTTGTTGTTGTTGTGGTTAGTCGTGGTACCGCGAGAGTCGTTGTTGCTCCCTCCTCGCCCGACGCGACACACGCGAGAGGACTCCTCCTCGAGAGAGGCGAGCGAGCGAGCGGCTCGCGCCACGGAAACCCTGAGCGGCGTAGCGGGAGAGAGCCGGAGAGAGACACAGACAGACAGAGACACAGACAGACAGAGACACAGACAGACAGACACACACACACAGGGAGACGGAGAGAGACACAGACAGAGAGAGACACAGACAGACAGACACACACACACAGGGAGACGGAGAGAGACACAGATAGAGAGACACAGACAGAGAGACACAGACAGAGAGAGACACAGACAGAGAGAGACACAGACAGAGACACCGACAGAGAGACACAGAGAGAGAGACACAGACAGAGAGACACACAGACAGAGAGAGAGACAGACAGAGAGAGACACAGACAGACAGAGACACAGACAGACACCGACAGAGAGAGACACAGACAGACAGAGACACAGACAGAGACACACACACAGGGAGACGGAGAGAGACACAGACAGAGAGAGACACCGACAGACAGAGACACAGACAGAGAGAGACACAGAGAGAGACACAGACAGAGAGAGACACAGACAGACAGAGACACACACACACACACAGAGACGGAGAGAGACACAGACAGAGAGAGACACAGACAGACAGAGACACAGACAGACAGAGACACAGACAGAGACACAGACAGAGAGAGACACACACACAGGGAGACGGAGAGAGACACAGACAAAGAGAGAGACACAGGCAGAGAGAGACACAGACAGACAGAGACACAGACAGACAGAGAGACACACAAACACAGGGAGACGGAGAGAGACACCGACAGACAGAGACAAAGACAGAGACACAGACAGAGAGACACACAGGGAGACGGAGAGAGACACAGACAGACAGAGACACAGACAGACAGAGAGAAACACAAACACAGGGAGACGGAGAGAGACACCGACAGACAGAGACAAAGACAGAGACACAGACAGACAGAGAGACACACAGGGAGACGGAGAGAGACACAGACAGACAGAGACACAGACAGACAGAGAGACACACAGGGAGACGGAGAGAGACAGACAGAGAGACACCGACAGACAGAGCCACAGACAGACAGAGAGACACACAGGTAGACGGAGAGAGACAGAGAGACGTCTTGAGAGACGACACACGTAGAGCACAGAGAGCGAGGCGGACACGGCAGAAGGGCGCAAAGGCATCTGCAAGCGGAACGTGGGGGATACAAAGACGGAAGGGAGTGGGCGCATGAAGCGAGTCGATGTCCATGCTGGGGATTTCCTGCAGGCTCCGAGAACTCTCCACGGCAGGGGCGCTCCACATCTAGCCCGTGACGACTCTCTCGCTGTGAGCACCGCGGACGAAGATGAGCTCATCGTTCAAACTGCACCAGTAGTCGTCTTCTTCGTCTTCTTCCTCTACTGCCGCCGCCGCCGCCGCCGTTTGCTTCGGAAGAAAAGTGTCGCCCGCTTCGCACAAAAACAAAAGTTAAATTGTTCTTCGGATTTGTGACACAACCTGTTCGTGAAGTGTGCATCAGCAGGAGCAATAAACGTCGGCAGCAGCATCGGCAGCATCATCAGCAGCATCGGCAGCATCATCGGCAGCATCATCAGCAGCATCGGCAGCAGCATCATCATCATCAGCAGCATCATCGGCAGCATCATCGGCAGCATCGTCAGCAGCATCGGCAGCAGCATCGGCAGCAGCATCATCATCAGCAGCATCGGCAGCAGCAGCATCAGTTAACGCCTCCCTCCACCGGACTGCGTGAATGCGTTCCGACTGGACGAGCCAGTGCAATTTCAACACAGTGTACACACAGACACGCGTACACACACAGACAGACACGCGTACACACACAGACACGCGTACACACACAGACACGCGTACACACACACACACGCGTACACACACACACACACGCGTACACACACACACGCGTACACACACACACGCGCGGACACACACACGCGTACACTACAACAGCGCCCAGTGTTCACACACACGCCACACTCTCCCACTAACAATGCACACGCACGGCGACGCGCAGACCTCAGCGCCCGATTGTTCCAATGAGACTCCACGCCAATGACTCGCTCCGATGTGTGGGCGCGCACACGTGGACCCGACACCTCGCAAGGGTGATAACACACAACTGCGTGTTTACTTTGCGGTATTAGAATATACACAAGGAAGACACAAGGGGCAAAAGATTATTTGCGTCTGTGTGCGTGTACATACGCATATAGCCTCAACAGCATTTTGGGGCGAGTGCTGTTAGCAAGAAAATCTCACGAGACAAAGACATATCCTGTGTGTGGTCTTAACAGACTTTTGGCATACAAACGTCCACACACACACACGGGTGGCAAGACACACGAGCCAGTCGACAAAGACAAGGACACACACACACAGGCGCACTCTCACGTGCACACAGCTAGACACACGGACACACAGGCAGACACACACACACCGAGACGGACTGGCTGCCCAAGGCAGACACACAAACACACACACAGGCAGACACAGGAAGACACACAAACACACGCGCACAGGCAGACACAGGCAGACGCACAAACACACGCGCACAGGCAGACACAGGCAGACGCACAAACACACGCGCACAGGCAGACACAGGCAGACGCACAAACACACGCGCACAGGCAGACACAGGCAGACGCACAAACACACGCGCACAGGCAGACACAGGCAGACGCACAAACACCCGCGCACGGACAGACAGACACACGCGCACCGGTGCAGCGCCCGCGTGAGCTCACGGGCGCGTGAACCCCCAACAGCAGCAGCAACAACAGCAGCAGCAACAACAGCAGCAACAACAGCAGCAGCAGCAGCAGCTCGGCCTCCTTCCACCACCACCACCACCACCACCTCCTCGCTCGCTCGCGATGTCCTCCTCCTTCCCGCACCCGCTCTTCGCGACTCCCCGCGGAGCGAACGGCGACTTGGCGTGTCTGAGCGCGCTTATCGCCGCACACAGCCAGCACCACCAGCACCACCAGCAGCACCACCAACAGCAGCTGCTGATCGGCAACAACAGCGCAACAACGACTGCGGCCGCCGTCAATCCCCTGCACCATCACCACCACAACAACAACAACCACCACCACCACAGCAGCAGCAGCAGCCACGCCGCTTTGTTCCAGAGCCTGGGGATGCAAATGCCGCCCCAACCCCTGCCGCTGCCGCTGCCCCAACCCCTGCCGCTGCCCCAACCCCTGCCGCTGCCCCTGCCGCCCACTCCCGTGGCGACCGTGGCGCCTTCGTCGCTGCCCGGTCATCATCACCATCACCACCACCATCAGCACCATCACCACCATCACCCGGCGACTACGCCGGTGCAGCAGCAGCATCATCATCAGCACGCCAAGCTGAGCGCCTGCGGGATCTTCCCCGTGTCGCCGCTGGGCGCCCTGACGGGACTCGACCCGGCACCGTTTTCCCTGCCGGCGTTCCTCGCCGCCGGCCACCTGAGCTTGCAACAGCACGCGGCGTCGGCCCTCGTTCACCACCACCACCAGCAACAACAACAGCAGCAGCAACAACAACAACAACAGCAGTCGCCAGGATCGGCCGCCGCTGCAGCTGCGGCTGTAGCGGCTACGGCAGCCGCAGCTCGCTCCACGCAGCAGCATCAGCAGCATCATCATCAGCAGCAGCAGCAGCATCAGCTGAAGGAGGCTGACGACTGCTTAGTGGCCGCTGCAGAGGACGACCCGCGCGTGACCCTGGAGGGCAAGGAGCTGTGGGATCAGTTCCACGGCATCGGGACCGAGATGGTGATCACCAAATCCGGCAGGTGAGGAGTTCGCGCAGAGACGGGGTGGGTCCCGGAGATGATGAATGCAGAGAGAGAGAAAGGAGGATGAGTGGGAGATGCACGCACGCGCGTGTGTGTCAGAGTAGGGGGGCACGGGTGGTGCGAGTGATGTGGTACAAGAGGACGTGGAGCTGAGTGGACTTGCCGATGACTGGTACCAGCGGTGTCAAGATCGGCCTCTGTGGAGGAGGCTCGTGAAGGACGCTACTGGGCAGTTGGAGGCAGTCGCCCTCCAACAACAACGGAGGGCGGAGGAGCGACGCTCACAACAACGAGCTGAGCGCCGGGTGTCTAAAGCACAGCGGGTTGGCACAGTAGGGGGCACAGGTGGTGCATCAGCCAGTCATCTCAGTCATCTTAGTCGATCCGTGGCACTTGGGTCTGCCCCGTGACCTCCTGCCCGCGGGCGTTCGACACTTCACGTGGCCTCAAGGTGCACATAGCCTGGCACAAGCGTCCTGGTGACGTCACCGCCACTTAGTGGCGAATGGCGGTTGTTGTTGTTACGTAGTAGGGGGGGAGAGGGGGTGGTTGTAGTCCTCGTACCCTGCAACTCCGATGAGTCGCGTTGCGGTAGCGAGAGAAGTTTAACGAACGCAGCTGTGCATCGAACATCGCGGAAACTCCCGGCGACGATTATCTGAACCGGTCCTGCCCCCCCCCCCCCTCCCAAACGAGTACCTGGTGCGGTGTGTAAACATCGCCACTAGGGAGACAAAGGCGGCTGGGCGTTTTTATTGGTCACCCACTCCCCTCGTGTGCCGTGCCGGCCTTCATAGGCGCTTGCTACTCGCTAACATCACTTGCCCCAACAGTCTGTTAAGGCTACACTGGGGGGGGGGGATCTTTCTCTTTGTGTGTATAGATACACGCTCAGACTTACAGACGTATAGATAGACACGTGCAGAGACATACAGACAGACACACAGAGACAAAGATCCCCCCGGTGTAGCCTTAATAGACTGTTGGGGCAAGTGCTGTTCGCGAGCACCTACGAAGGCCGGCACGGCACACGAGGGGGTGGGTGGTCAACACCACGTCCATATTGCTAGACACAAGCAGAGACATGCAGACAAACACAGGCACACAGACGGTATCGATAGACACAAGCAGACAAACACAGACACACAGCCGTATTGATACACACAAGCAGAGACATGCACACAAACACAGACACACAGACATATTGCTAGACACAAGCAGAGACATGCAGACACACAGACACAGCCGTATTGATAGACACAAGCAGAAACATACAGACAAACACAGGCACACAGACGGTATCGATAGACACAAGCAGACAAACACAAACACACAGCCGTATTGATAGACACAAGCAGAGACATGCACACAAACACAGACACACAGCCGTATTGATAGACACAAGCAGAGACATGCAGACACACACAGACACACAGCCGTATTGATAGACACAAGCAGAAACATACAGATATACAGAACCGTATACAGATACAGAAGCATATAGATATACATGTATACGCACATTAATACGCACATATATGGAGGCATACACAGAGACACATATAAAAAGACACACACACATAGACAGACGCGGGAAAAAAACTCACGACTGATGCAGCTTCATACAGACACGAGCCAAAGACAAAGATTCCTCGCATAGCCTCAACAGACTGTTGGGGCAAGTGCCGTTAGCGAGTAGCACCTATTGGATAGCCAACGCGCAGACAGACGCGCGTGTTCGCATGTTTGGGTTGCACGTACGCTAGTGGTTGCACGTATGTGTACGGTGAACTTCTTTCGCTCCGTACCGTAGCCAATGGTAGCTAATCGACGGTTCGGGGGAAGGACAATAAACTAAACACAAAAATCCGTTCTGAAGAAACGAGTGGCTGTGATGCGTGAATACAGTGTACACACACACATGTACACACACACGTGTGTGTGTGTACATGTGTGTGTGTCCTAGCTAACTTGCTCCTACGGTCTCTCAAGGCTACACGGAGGGGCTTCGTCTTTGTTGTGTCACCGCTGGAGTTTGCGGTCTCTCTCTCTCTCTCCTCGTGGTTCGCGTGGATTTCCCTCCGGGTTCTGCGGGGTTTATTTCCCCTGCACGTTGAGAACCACCACCACCACCACGCGTTTCGAGACGTCGCCTGCTGCTGCACATTTCCATGCGAGGATGATGACGATGATGAGCCGGCAACCTCGTTGAGCTATCATTTTGTGATGGGTCGCTCGTGAAAACAAAGGGAGGTGTGTGGACGCTCACTGGGGGCCTTGCCTGGTCAGATGCAAACTCAACGAGCGAGTCGGAATGAATGGGGGGGGGGAGTCAGACGGGTCAGCGAGTCGAGTCGAGAGGCCTAACGAGTTTTATATTTGGTGACAACAGGACATGTACTACTCCACCCTGGCCAGACGTCTTGAACAATAATACTAATTATTATTACTATGATAATATTATTATAATACTTTACATATATATGTGTGTATCGTGACGCTGCTGCTGCTGCTTTAGTAAGTGATGCAGATGCACGTTCAGCAGCAGCAGCAGCAGCAATCATGATGAGTCCTCGGCACATTAGTAAATAAACATCGCAGTGTTTGGCCTTTAACGAAAAACATATACAATAGACGACGCTTCGGGCAATGACCCTTTGCAGCACATTGAGAGGTAGAGAGAGGCACGTGCCGTGAAGAAGGACCGTTAACCGAAACGTCGGCCATTGTCTATATTTATTAACGTCTGCCAAGGCCCACGGCGGTAGCGACGAATGTGAGCTCGAGTAACAATGGAGCCGTGCTCTATAACAATAGAGCCGTGCTCTGTAACAATAGAGCCGTGCTCTGTAACAATAGAGCCGTGCTCTGTAACAATAGAGCCGTGCTCTGTAACAATAGAGCCGTGCTCTGTAACAATAGAGCCGTGCTTTATAACAATAGAGCCGTGCTCTATAACAATAGAGCCGTGCTCTGTAACAATAGAACCGTGCTCTGTAACAACAGAGCTGTGCTCTGTAACAATAGTGCCGTGCTCTGTAACAATAGTGCCGTGCTCTGTAACAATAGAGCCGTGCTCTGTAACAATAGAGCCGTGCTCTGTAACAATAGAGCCGTGCTCTGTAACAATAGTGCTGTGCTCTGTAACAATAGAGCTGTGCTCTGTAACAATAGAGCCGTGCTCTGTAACAATAGAGCTGTGCTCTGTAACAATAGAGCCGTGCTCTGTAACAATAGAGCCATGCTCTGTAACAATAGAGCTGTGCTCTGTAACAATAGAGCCGTGCTCTGTAACAATAGAGCCGTGCTCTGTAACAATAGTGCCGTGCTCTGTAACAATAGAGCCGTGCTCTGTAACAATAGAGCCGTGCTCTGTAACAATAGAGCCGTGCTCTGTAACAATAGAGCCGTGCTCTATAACAATAGTGCCGTGCTCTGTAACAATAGAGCCGTGCTCTGTAACAATAGAGCCGTGCTCTGTAACAATAGAGCCGTGCTCTGTAACAATAGAGCCGTGCTCTGTAACAATAGAGCCGTGCTCTGTAACAATAGAGCCGTGCTCTATAACAATAGAGCCGTGCTCTGTAACAATAGAGCCGTGCACTGTAACAATAGTGCCGTGCTCTGTAACAATAGAGCTGTGCTCTGTAACAATAGAGCCGTGCTCTATAACAATAGTGCCGTGCTCTGTAACAATAGAGCCGTGCTCTATAACAATAGAGCCGTGCTCTGTAACAATAGAGCCGTGCACTGTAACAATAGAGCCGTGCTCTGTAACAATAGTGCCGTGCTCTGTAACAATAGAGCCGTGCTCTGTAACAATAGTGCCGTGCTCTGTAACAATAGAGCCGTGCTCTGTAACAATAGAGCCGTGCTCTGTAACAATAGTGCCGTGCTCTGTAACAATAGAGCCGTGCTCTGTAACAATAGAGCCGTGCACTGTAACAATAGAGCCGTGCTCTGTAACAATAGTGCCGTGCTCTGTAACAATAGAGCCGTGCTCTGTAACAATAGAACCGTGCTCTGTAACAATAGTGCCGTGCTCTGTAACAATAGAGCCGTGCTCTGTAACAATAGAACCGTGCTCTGTAACAGTAGTGCCGTGCTCTGTAACAATAGAGCCGTGCACTGTAACAATAGAGCCGTGCTCTGTAACAATAGAGCCGTGCTCTGTAACAATATAGCCGTGCTCTGTAACAATAGAGCCGTGCTCTGTAACAATAGTGCCGTGCTCTGTAACAATAGAGCCGTGCTCTATAACAATAGAGCCGTGCTCTGTAACAATAGAGCCGTGCTCTGTAACAATAGAGCCGTGCTCTGTAACAATAGAGCCGTGCTCTGTAACAATAGTGCCGTGCTCTGTAACAATAGAACCGTGCTCTGTAACAATAGAACCGTGCTCTGTAACAATAGTGCCGTGCTCTGTAACAATAGAGCTGTGCTCTGTAACAATATAGCCGTGCTGATGTACGTATATACCTACACGTGTGTATACACATACACGTGTTTGTGTATATACATACACGTGTGTGTGTATTGCGTATGTGTATATACATACACGTTTGTATGTATCGTGTGTGTATATATACATACGCGCGTATGTGTATGTTGTGCGTGTATATACATACTTATGTGTATATATCGTGTGTATATATACACACGTATATATATTACATATATACACACATGTGTGTGTATATATGTAATATATATCTACAAATTGATATACTTGGGACCCACATAACATACAGTAAATTGATACAGACGCGCGTGTGTGTGTAGGTCATATCCACGTATTATAAACACCCACGTGTATTAGGTTATATACACCAGTGTGTGTATATATATGCGCGCGTATATACAGCCTTACATGAGTGCCTGGTGCTGTGTGTAAAAATACCCACGAAGAGAGACAAAGGCGGCCGGGCGTGGTGCTGGCCACCCACCCCCTCGTGTGCCGTTCCGACCTTCAAAGGTGCCACTCGCTAACATCACTT